AGGGCGCGGACGTGGGTGTCGACGCTCGTCTTGTGCGAGTCGAGCTGCGATCGAGCGTGCTCGTGGTCGGCACGGTGGCGCGCGGCGATCGACGAGAGCGTGGCCACCTGCTCGGCATAGTCGCGCAGCGAGCTCTCCGAGGCGTGGCTTCGCTTCTGCAGCGCCGAGAGCTCGTCGTAGGCCTTCATCTGGGCCGCCTCTGCCGCCATGGCCCGCTTGGCCGTCTCCGAGAGGCGCTCCTCGGCCGAGTTGCGCAGCTGCTGCTCGAGCTTGGCCTGCTCGCGCAGGCTCGACACCTGCCTCTCGAGCTGCGCGCTCTCGCGCAGCGCCTCTGCGAGCGACTTTTCAAACTTGGCCGCCCGCTCCCTGTCGAGGCGCGACACCTCTGCGACGTTGCCAGACTCGAGGGCGGCCAGCTTGGCCCGGTAGTAGGCGGCCTCCTGGAGCGCGGCGGAACGCGCACGCTCCGACTCGGCCATCCGATCCGCCTCGCCCTGCGCCTGCTGCGCGATGGTCGACTTGGCGCTGGCGAGCTGCGTCTTGAGCGAGACGAGCGCCTTGAAGATGCGGTCCTTTTCGCTGCCCTCGGGGCCCGTGTCGAAACCGTCGAGGCTGACACGATCCGGCGTGTCGCTGCGACCCTCGACGCTGGTTCCGTCCGGCATCTGCAGCTGCTCGGGCTCGACAAAGCCCTTTTTGGCGGCCATGGCGAGCGCCGCCTTGAGCCACGCCTCGCGCCTCCGCATCGCCTCGAGCTCGGCGTTGGCGGACCGAGACGCCGGGTGGTAGCCGTTGGCGGCCGAGTTGGCGCTCGGCGGCGTGCCGTTGCGGCCGTAGTGGAAGGCATCCTGGGGCGTCGTTGCTGGGCTGTCGTTGCGGCCCAGGACGCCGTCGATGTTGCGCATCGCCGACGCGGGCGCGACCGAGTTGGGCGACGGCGCGCCGCCGCGCATGTTTTCGATGGAACGCTGGCTTCGCGGCCCGCCATAGGGCGCAGGGCCATCCGGCTGCGGCTGTTGTAAGCCATGCTGGTACGGCTGCTGCTGCTGCGGCTGCTGCTGCTGTGGGCCGCCCATCTGCCCGAAGCTCGGCTGGCCCTGCTGGGAAGCGCCAGGCAGGGGGGCCGCGCGCGGATCGCGCAGCGCATTGGACGACGGCGACATCGCGCGAGTGGGCTGCTGCTCGCCGGCGGACTGCATAGCACCTGCTTGTGCCATCGACATGATGTTCTGCGCGTGGTAGGGCGGCGACTGCGGCCCGCCTTGCTGCTGCTGCTGCGCGTACGGCTGCTGCTGTTGCGGCAAGACCATGGGCTGCGCCTGCCTCTGCTGGAGATGGTGCGACCCTGCGCTGCCCGGGCTGTCGGGCTGCTGGGACATGCCCAC